CCCCACCCCCCCCATGGACATGCTGGACCCGGGTCTGGATCCCGCTGCCTCGGCCACCGCTGCTGCCGCCGCCAGGTAAGGGAGCCCGGCCGGCCCGTGCCCCCGCGCGCCCTGGTCCCGGCCCTTCGGCCTGGCGACCGGGCCGCCATGATCCCGAGCGGCCGCCCGGCCCAGCTCAAAATGGAGGCCGCGAGGGAGGGGGGACCGGCACGTATACCCCCGGTCCCCGGTCCCCGAGGGGCCGCCGTCCCAGACTGGGCCGGGCGGGATGGGGGCCCCGCACCTGGGCGAAGGGGCGGGGGCGCGGGCAGCCCTGATCCCCTCTTCTTCCTGTGCTCCCCGCAGTCACGACAAGGGACCTGAGGCAGAGGAGGGTGTCGAACTGCAAGAAGGTGAGTGCTCGCGGGGCCCACCGGGGCCGCGACCTGCGCCCGGGAGGGCACTGGGGGCGCCCTGGCCCGCGCCACCTCTGACCATCCCCGCGACCCTCCTCCGACCGCAGGCGGGGACGGGCCTGGGGCGGAGGAGCAGACGGCGGTGGCCATCGCCAGCGTCCAGCAGGCGGCGTTCGGCGACCACAACATCCAGTACCAGTTCCGCACAGAGAATAATGGAGGACAGGTGAGGCGGCGGGCCCGGAGCCCGGCGGTCAAGTGGAGGGTTGAGTCCCGGGGCGGGCGGGCTGGCGGGCTGGGAGGGGCTCGGACCTGGCCCCTGCCTGGGCCCCAGCGCGGGTCTCTGCTCTGCCGCCCCCTGCAGGTGACGTACCGCGTGGTCCAGGTGACTGATGGTCAGCTGGACGGCCAGGGCGACACATCAGGCGCCGTCAGCGTCGTGTCTACGGCTGCCTTCGCGGGGGGGCAGCAGGCTGTGACCCAGGTGGGTGTGGATGGGGCCACCCAGCGCCCCGGCCCCGCTGCTGCCTCTGTGCCCCCAGGTCCCGCAGCGCCCTTCCCACTGGTAGGTGCCCAGCATCCTCTGGGGGGATGGAGAAGGGGCACTGGACACTGACTTTGTTCTTGGGGAGAGCCAGGGGGGTGGGGCACGTGAGACTAAGATGCCGCCTTCAGGCCCTCAGGTCAGATCTCTTGTTTTGCACGGTGAAACCTGGGGCAAGACCTTCGGAACATCTTTTTTTGTTTGTTTTGTGAAATGGGAATCATGGTCACAGGGCAGTCTCTTCGAGTTAAAAGTGGGTCAGCTCCCCAAGTGATTGCTTAGTAGCTATCAAGTTCCAGGGCTGTGAGATACAGGGCAGAGTGGGACACAGGGGTTCCCCACTCTCTGCAGAGAATGCAGTAAACATCAAATATGGTGGCTAGGGGATGGACTGGGGAGCAAAGATGGCTAAGGGTGGCCTCTGTCCTCCTGCTCCCTAGGCTGTTATCCAAAATCCCTTCAGCAATGGTGGCAGCCCGGCTGCTGAGGCTGTCAGTGGGGAGGCCCGATTTGCCTATTTCCCAGCGTCCAGTGTGGGAGATACCACGGCTGTGTCCGTACAGACCACAGACCAGAGCTTGCAGGCTGGAGGTAAAGGAAGGAAGGGGCCAGGGAGGAAGGCAGGGGAGGCAACAGGCCTAGCAGGGAGGGAAGCTCCCCCCCACCCCTAGCCAGTTCTGACTCTGCCCCCAGTTTTAGCGCTAACCCCCACTTTCCCTGCAGGCCAGTTCTATGTCATGATGACGCCCCAGGACGTGCTTCAGACAGGAACGCAGAGGACAATTGCACCTCGGACACACCCCTACTCCTCGTATGTGCAGGAGACCTGGTCCCAGGAGTACGGGATGCTGGGAGGGTCTGTCATGGGCACCCACGGAAGAGGAAGTTTTCCTGAGATGGGAACCAGGCAGTTAAATACACAGCAGGCAGTTGGTGTATTTTTTGGTCAGCTTTTGCTTTTCTAGTTTAAGTAAAGACAATACCATTTCCTCTCTCTCTGTCTCTACATATCGATTTGTCTTGCAGAGATCATTTTTAAGTCTGACTCTTTAATAAACGTTTGGACACATGGGCTGGAGGTAACATGTACCCATTTTTTCCATTCTCTTCTAGGAAAATTGACGGAACAAGAACGCCACGGGATGAGAGAAGGAGAGCTCAGCATAATGAAGGTAAGGTCAGGCGGGAGCTGCTGGTCCTCACGGGCTCAACCCCAGCTGGGTGTTTGGAGTCACAGATCAGTGGCCGAGTTATTGATCCAAGTGCTCGAGAAGTGTTGGTTGAATGCTGGGAAGGCAGAAGCAGAGAGGTTCCTTGTCAGGAGCATATATAGGCAGGAGGCATGAGCTGTAGTGTATTTGTCATCCTGGCTGGTGACTCTCAAGTAATGCCCAGAAGTTTAAATGGTGAGTTTCACATTCATGCGTGGATTTTCTGCTCCTCTGGGAAAGCTGGATTGCTCTGGCACATGGGGCAACTGGTTTGCTCAAGCCCCCCACCCTACTGCCAGCCTGACTTCCAGAAGTAGCCCTGATCTGAGAGAGAGTACATCTGAAAGGAAATTGTAGGAAGTCTGTGTCTCTGGCTGAGGCTGGAGCATGAACATGTCCAGAGAACACTTCCACTCAAATAGCTGTCATTCAGCAGATACTTCCTGAAGGAGGATTCTAGGCTAGGCAGTATGTGCCCTGTGCTAGGTATGGGGCCTAGTGTGGAGTGTTCAGGAAGCTCGGGGTAGCTCAGGGTAGTGTGTGACTGAACACTGACTGACGGAGCAGGTGATATTTCCCCAGGGAGGTGGCCTCTGGGAGTGCCTGTCCAGCAGAGAGAAGCATGGGAAGGCAGGGTGGAGAAGGGTTGCTCCGGGGGTGCTGGTTTGGTTGTAGCAGAGGTTCCTTGTGGAGTGCTTGGGAGGGCCAAGAATGGCCTTGAATGTCAGGGTGAGGCCTTGAGAGTCCTCACTGTGTTTGATGGGGAGTGGCTCCCGCAGCTATGCTCTGAGCAGCTCATGGAGTTCAGACCTTTACTCAGCATATATGTGCTAGGTGCCAGCCCCTGTTCTAGGCCTCAGATACACCTAGATAATGGAACAGGCACCTTGGCTCTCACAGGGTATTCATTCTGGTGGGAGAGACAGAAACTACACAAAGGTACAATAAGACGTCAGGGAACGTAAGTCATGTGTCGTGTGAAGGAAGATAAGGCTGGTAAGGACTTGGAGCGTTATGGTGGCAGGGAGCTCTGTGGGCCTCTCTAGAAGTGACGCTTGAGCAGGCACCTGAATGGGCTGGCCACAATCCTGAGGAATAGTCCCAGACAGCGAGGGATAAGCAAGTACAAACACCCAGCCCGAGCTGGAACAGACTCGGTGTGATTGAAGAAGAGCAGAATTCAGGAAAGAAAAGAGGAAGTTGGCAGAGTCGTGGGAGTACTGGCCAGGGCCAGATCACATGGGCCTTGTCACAGGCCCTCCCAGGGCCCCCACTCCTGGATCTTTGTGCTGGTTCAGGGGGAAGTCAGCAGAGGGGTTGTATTTGGAGACTGGTTACTAAGGGTGATGGGATGCCAGAAGCTAGGAAAATAGGAGGTGACTGCAGCTGTGGGCCTCAGACAGGACAGAGCATGAAAGGGGGTCAGGGGAGGGGGCAGGCTGTAGGGGAGAAGAGGCCAAACCTGAAGAATCAGGACTTCATGAATCAGGATTTTATGATGGGGTCAGTTTCGTTTAAAGGGAAGCAGTGAGTGTGAGCTTGGTTTTGGAGTGTGGTGAGTTTGAGGGGTTTCCTATTGGCTCCTGGGCAGTCCCAGCTCTACTACATACCAGTTGTGTGACCTTGGACTGGTTCTTCATCTCTGCACCTGTTTAGTCCTGTGTACGAATGTGTTAACATGACTACCCCAGAGGCTCATAGCGAGGGTGCAGCGCGTTGAGACATGAGCCCTCAGCTACCCCCAGTGTAGTGTGCTGCCTGGTAAGACCACAGCAGGCAACTCTGGGAAGATGAGCCGGTCACTCTCCACCCTACTGTCACTCTGCCTCTCCCTGGGTTAATCCAGCTCCAAAGTCTTGACGCTTCCTCATCCTAGAAAAGCCAGTCCTGCTTATGACCTTGCCTTTGCTGACCTGCTGCAGCCAGCCCCCTCTCTGCTAACCTGCAGAACGTTTGACCCACCCTCTGCCCGGCAGCCACCCTGTACCCTTGGCAATCTGGCTCATTTCTCTACCAAAACGGCTCCATTTAAGGTCACCCGTGACGACCTCATTGCCAAATCCACTGGCTTCCTTTCCTGTCTACACTCCAAGCATCTGACCCTGCCTGTTCCCCTCCTTTCGGGAATGTTCCTTTCTGCTCTCCTTGCCCTGGTTTTCCTTCCGAGCCTGTTCCTGAGAACAGGGCTTCCCGGTCACCTGGAAAGCTTGTTAATGATCACCATCTTTAGGTCATCCTCATGAGATGCTGAATGGGTAGGTCCGAGAGGGTCTGGGAGTCTGTGCTAAAACAAGTTCCCCAGGTGACTCTTCATGATGGGTAAAGTTAGGAAACTGCTTTGGCTGTTAGTCTCTCTTGGGGTCCAGCCCCTTATTCTAGTGGTCAGGAGAGTGAAACATCAGGCCTGGGGGTGGTCAGTCTCCCCAAGTCCCTATCCCCAGTTGTTGATGTGCATCATTTCCCCCAGGAGAGGGTCTGCGGACTTTCTCCAGAAAAGTATGTGACTCCAAAAAGATGAGACTGTTCCCTGATGTCCTCCCAGGGCTCCCCACCCCGTGCACTGCCGACAGCTGTCTTTCTGCTCCATCTCTCTCATGCTCCTCCAGACCCATATTTTGGAGTGCTCGTTCCAAATTTCTATTGCTGGATGTTCTTAAAGCATCTCACGCTCAACGTGTCCAAACCAGAACCTGCCGTTGTCCCTCCTTCCCAAAGCCTCCTTCTTCCAGAGCAGCAAGATGAATCTCTGTCATGATTACCTCAGCCAGACCCTAGAGCTAGGCCACTTCAACTCTGTGCTCTCCTTCCCTCACAGCCGCAGGACCCAAGACGCTGTGCCGAAGCAGACCTCAAATCGACCTTTTCTGCTTTTCCCTCTTTCACACGTTTCTTGATACCACAGGGGCCTATCTCTGGGCCGCAGGCAGATGTCTTCAGGGGCCCAAGGAAGTCAGTATACTTGGTGTAGCAGAAAGGGGAGTGATGGTCCCCAACAGTGACTGGGGGTCAGCGTGTCTGTCCTGCCTGAAAGGTGGTCTAACAGTGCCCGCTGTTGCTGCCGTGTCGGAATTTGTGCTCACTGCTACCGGAACCTCTGAAGAAGCCAGAAATCCAGATCTTTACGTGAAAACTGATTTCTTAGCTGCTTTTTCTATTTCATTGGTTCCTACTTATACTGTGACCAATTTATTTGTTCTGCTTAATTGGGGTTTAATTTGCTGGGTGTCTTCCCCAGCTTTTTAAAATGATCTTTAAACCTTTTTCTCAGTACAAGCCTTTATAGTTGCAGATTTCAGTCTTATACTGCTTTAGCTTCGTCCCATTTGGATACGTTGTGTTTTCTTGTTACTCAATTTGGAATGTTTCTCGTATTCTTGATTATTTTTTCACTGACCCATGGGATTATTTAGAAATGTGTTGTTTAATTTATGAATGTTTATGGGTTTTCTGGATATCTTTTTTTTCTGAACATTTATCTATTTGGCTGCGTTCGGCCTTTGTTGCATCATGTGGGATCTTTTGTTGCGGTGCCCAGACTCTCTAGTTGTGGCGTGAGGGCTTAGTTGCTCCACAGTATGTGGGGTCTTAGCCCCCCAAGCAGGGGGTTGAACCCACCTCCCCTGCATTGCCAGGCGGATTCTTCACCACTGGTCCACCAGGGAAGTCCCCTGGTATCTTCTTGTTACTGATTTGTAAATGAGTTTTGTTGTGATTAGAGAACATACTCTGTATATAACTTAAGTCCTTTGGAATGTATTGAGACTTTATTTTATGGCCCTAAATACAGTCTATCTCGGTGAAAGTTTCTGTGTGTGCTGGAAAAGGAATATCTGCTGATGTGTGTGGAGTGTTCCATCAGTGGTAACTAGGTCAAGTTGGCTGACAGTGTTCAGATTTTCTATCTTCATTTTTTTGTCTACTTGTTTTGTCAGTTACTGAGGAGTGTTGATATCTCTAGTTACATTTGTGAATTTGTCTGTTTCTCCCATTAGTCCTGGCAGATTTTGCCTCTAAGTTGTTTTGAAGGTGGTATGGCTGTGACTGAAGCCTTCTGAGGAACCGACATGGCCTTGGTTTTGACTGGTCTTCCTCGGTTTCAGTTGTGCCGAAGTGGCCTCCCCAAGCCACAGGCCTGACCACATGCCAAGAAGGGCCCCAGACTCAAGGGCTTAGACCCCTTGGGGAAGAGAATACAAGGTCCAGACCCACAGACAGGGCATTCAGGGCCTTCACAACCTATTTGTACCACCTTTTCCTATCCCCCGCCCTACCTCCTCACCCTCCAGAGTGTTTGCATGTCCCCTTTTCTGGGTTTCATGATGCCTGTCTGCCTACTGTCCTTCCTCTCAGAAACCAGCCCCCATCTTTCCTTTCTAAACCTTTCTCTGAAGAGACACTCCACCCCACTCCACGCTGAAAGCAGTACTCCGCCCTGGCATTCCCCAGGCACTGGGTACTGTCTCCAGTTGTAACTCTCAGTTTGTGGTGTCAGTATCTCCCATTCATGTGAATTTCACGTTGGTGCCCAGAGTGTGGCCTTTGTTGCATCATGTGGGATCTTTTGTTGCGGTGCCCAGACTCTCTAGTTGTGGCGTGAGGGCTTAGTTGCTCCACAGTATGTGGGGTCTTAGCCCCCCAAGCAGGGGGTTGAACCCACCTCCCCTGCATTGCCAGGCGGATTCTTCACCACTGGTCCACCAGGGAAGTCCCCTGGTATCTTCTTGTTACTGATTTGTAAATGAGTTTTGTTGTGATTAGAGAACATACTCTGTATATAACTTAAGTCCTTTGGAATGTATTGAGACTTTATTTTATGGCCCTAAATACAGTCTATCTCGGTGAAAGTTTCTGTGTGTGCTGGAAAAGGAATATCTGCTGATGTGTGTGGAGTGTTCCATCAGTGGTAACTAGGTCAAGTTGGCTGACAGTGTTCAGATTTTCTATCTTCATTTTTTTGTCTACTTGTTTTGTCAGTTACTGAGGAGTGTTGATATCTCTAGTTACATTTGTGAATTTGTCTGTTTCTCCCATTAGTCCTGGCAGATTTTGCCTCTAAGTTGTTTTGAAGGTGGTATGGCTGTGACTGAAGCCTTCTGAGGAACCGACATGGCCTTGGTTTTGACTGGTCTTCCTCGGTTTCAGTTGTGCCGAAGTGGCCTCCCCAAGCCACAGGCCTGACCACATGCCAAGAAGGGCCCCAGACTCAAGGGCTTAGACCCCTTGGGGAAGAGAATACAAGGTCCAGACCCACAGACAGGGCATTCAGGGCCTTCACAACCTATTTGTACCACCTTTTCCTATCCCCCGCCCTACCTCCTCACCCTCCAGAGTGTTTGCATGTCCCCTTTTCTGGGTTTCATGATGCCTGTCTGCCTACTGTCCTTCCTCTCAGAAACCAGCCCCCATCTTTCCTTTCTAAACCTTTCTCTGAAGAGACACTCCACCCCACTCCACGCTGAAAGCAGTACTCCGCCCTGGCATTCCCCAGGCACTGGGTACTGTCTCCAGTTGTAACTCTCAGTTTGTGGTGTCAGTATCTCCCATTCATGTGAATTTCACGTTGGTGCCCAGAGTGTCAGCAGGACAGCGGTTGAGTCTGCCATGGACTCTGGCCTCGCAGAGTGCCCTGCACACAGTAGGGCAAGCAGTAAGTTTTGAAGAAGTGAATCCGAGCTAGAGGTGTCCCCTACCCCCAGCCTGGCCCCCAGTGAGGAAGCGAGGAGTGGGCATGGGATGCAGCTGCAGCGTGGGGCCCAGGCTCAAGGATGCCAGACTGTGGGAGGGTAGTGAAGGGCAGCCGTCTGCTCGCGAGCTCCTCAGCTGGCACCTCAGAATGGACGTGGAGGCCGGGGTGGACTCTTAGCTCAGCTGCTGTTTGGGGCCACAGAGTCCCCAAAGACCGTCAGACATGGCTGCCCTGGCTGGGAAGGTTCATCACCAGGGTAGTGATGGGGCACATGGCTGTGTACTCACTGACCCCAGGGCCAGGGTCAGGTGAAGGGCGATAGCAGGCAGTATTCTTATCCCTGTGGTAAAGGGAGGTTGTGGGCGGCAAGAGAGGAGAACGAGGGAGGAAGCAAGTCCGTGTGGGAGGGTGTTGTCACCCAGGCCAGAGTGGGGGCGCTTGGAAGGACCGGTCAGCAGAGAGTGGACAAAAGCAAGCGCCAGGGGAAGACAGTCGGGTTTTCCTCTAGTGGCCAGGCACGTTCTTTGAGGGAACAGCTGGGTTGAGGGGCAGTGCTGGCCTCAGAAGGAGAGGGGGGTCTGGGGCAGCCTTCTGGCCCACCCCACTTTTCTCACTCTCATCCCGACCCTCTCCCCTAGTCGCCCAAACCTGAGAAAATACCCTCCTCCACCCTCGTTTCCAAATCCCACCCACAGTCTCCCCTCCTCTATAGTGACCACCTGCATTTGTCCATGGACTGCCTTAGCAGGAGGGTGAGAGTGTGGGGCCAACTGGGCTTTCTTGTGTGGCCCTAGCAGTGCCTTGTACTGTGCTTAGCAGGTGAGGAAAGTTTGGGACAGCTTTCTCAGCGAGCCCCAAACCAGGGGTCTCAGGCTGCAGTGCAGGCAGCCCCCAGGCCACTGTCCTAAGTCATGACAGGCCACAGCAGAGACACATACGAGCCCTGTCTGCAGGGGGCAGCTGCCACTCGACTCAGCAGACAGAGTGAGACAGTAGTGTGTTATAAATCACACATCTGGACTTTCCAAGTAAAATCGCCAGTAGCTTGTCAAACCTGGCCTTCAAGATAGGGTTTGTGGTGTTTCTGGGTGACCCAGTGCCCTGATGATGGGCCAGGCCCCTGAGAACTGCAGTGCCAGCCAGGGAAGCTGAGACTTGCTGCCGGGGCCATGGAGAAGGATTGTAAGCGGAGTGAGATGTGGTCAGACTGGGATTTTAATGATGAAGAGGAAAACAGGACTGTGGGGTCCAGAACTCTGGGGATACGTGAGTACCGCAATGGAGAATCAAGTTCAGGGGCTGTGGGGACCGGAAAGGGTCACCCGGGTCCTGTGTAAAGGGGCTCTGGCCCCTTCTTGCCTCCCAGGGACACGTGCCCACTGCGCCACAACTCCTTTTTTCAAAAGAGGCCAGTTGTTATGTGAACTTTTCTAGTTTTTAAATGTTGACTCAAATTTTTCAAAACCTGCTGGGCCAACCAACAGAACAAACCCCACAGCCCCTCAGCTGTCAGTGCTGCCCTGAGGGTACATGTGGCAGTTGAGGGTGGCGCTTGAATTTCTTGGTTCCTATTGAGGAGCCATGTGGAGCGGGCTGGTGCCAGCTGCCTGGGTTCAGGTCGGGCCCCTGCACTTGCTGGCCATGTGACCTCAGGCGGGCCTGGCTGTGCCTCGGCGGCCTCGGCTCTCGTGGCATCTGCCTTTGGAGGTGACTCGCCCAGGCACAGAGGGAGTGCTGTGGACACAGCCTGCTGTTCTCGCCACAGTGGAGCGGAGGCGGAGGGACAAGATCAACAACTGGATCGTCCAGCTTTCAAAAATCATTCCAGATTGTAATGCAGATAATAGCAAGACGGGAGCGGTGAGTGTCCCCCTGGTCCCCCAACCCCCTTGCAGAGAATCCGTCTTGAGCGCTGGACCCTGGAGTACGACTGGTGGGCATCGGCTGCCAGGCACTGCTCACTGATGCTCATGCCCACTGCCCCCCAGAGTAAAGGAGGGATCCTGTCAAAGGCCTGCGACTACATCCGGGAGCTGCGCCAGACCAACCAGCGCATGCAGGAGACCTTCAAGGAGGCTGAGCGGCTGCAGATGGACAATGAGCTCCTGCGGCAACAGGTGAGCCACAGGGCTAGGAGGGCGGGCATGGGGGGCGCCCAGGAACCCCAGGACGCGGGGAGCCAGCTCTGGCTGCTTGTCCCCCATCGTGTCTGGCAGATCGAGGAGCTGAAGAATGAGAATGCCGTGCTCCGCGCCCAGCTGCAGCAGCACAACCTGGAGATGGTGGGCGAGAGCGCCCGGCAGTGACACCACCTACCATGCGGTGGGGGCCGCCTCCGGGCCCCCACCGTCCCCTTCCCCAGCCCTTAGCACAGAGAGGGACAAACGCCCCTCCCCCAGCTGCGTTTTTTATAGTAGATTTTTAACAAAAAAAATGGGGAGAAATAATGCATTTCTGTGGATAAGCGCCCACCACCCTCCTCAACTTGGAAACCATATCCCCTCCCCCATTTGTCCGTCTCCCTTCTCCCGGCCCCCACTCAACCCAGCACTTCTAGTGGTCTCACCTGGAGGCCAGAGGGAGGAGGACAGAGCCCCTGCCACACCCCGCTGCCTCCTCGGACTCTCGGGGTACTGAGACCAGGGTGCTTATGGGGAGGAGGGGGTCCTGCGGGGGGCCTGGACCCAAGCAGGGAGGCCACGTCCCACCCCACCTCTTGTTTCTGGAATTGAGTACCGCAATGGAGAATCAAGTTCAGGGGCTGTGGGGACCGGAAAGGGTCACCCGGGTCCTGTGTAAAGGGGCTCTGGCCCCTTCTTGCCTCCCAGGGACACGTGCCCACTGCGCCACAACTCCTTTTTTCAAAAGAGGCCAGTTGTTATGTGAACTTTTCTAGTTTTTAAATGTTGACTCAAATTTTTCAAAACCTGCTGGGCCAACCAACAGAACAAACCCCACAGCCCCTCAGCTGTCAGTGCTGCCCTGAGGGTACATGTGGCAGTTGAGGGTGGCGCTTGAATTTCTTGGTTCCTATTGAGGAGCCATGTGGAGCGGGCTGGTGCCAGCTGCCTGGGTTCAGGTCGGGCCCCTGCACTTGCTGGCCATGTGACCTCAGGCGGGCCTGGCTGTGCCTCGGCGGCCTCGGCTCTCGTGGCATCTGCCTTTGGAGGTGACTCGCCCAGGCACAGAGGGAGTGCTGTGGACACAGCCTGCTGTTCTCGCCACAGTGGAGCGGAGGCGGAGGGACAAGATCAACAACTGGATCGTCCAGCTTTCAAAAATCATTCCAGATTGTAATGCAGATAATAGCAAGACGGGAGCGGTGAGTGTCCCCCTGGTCCCCCAACCCCCTTGCAGAGAATCCGTCTTGAGCGCTGGACCCTGGAGTACGACTGGTGGGCATCGGCTGCCAGGCACTGCTCACTGATGCTCATGCCCACTGCCCCCCAGAGTAAAGGAGGGATCCTGTCAAAGGCCTGCGACTACATCCGGGAGCTGCGCCAGACCAACCAGCGCATGCAGGAGACCTTCAAGGAGGCTGAGCGGCTGCAGATGGACAATGAGCTCCTGCGGCAACAGGTGAGCCACAGGGCTAGGAGGGCGGGCATGGGGGGCGCCCAGGAACCCCAGGACGCGGGGAGCCAGCTCTGGCTGCTTGTCCCCCATCGTGTCTGGCAGATCGAGGAGCTGAAGAATGAGAACGCCGTGCTCCGCGCCCAGCTGCAGCAGCACAACCTGGAGATGGTGGGCGAGAGCGCCCGGCAGTGACACCACCTACCACGCGGTGGGGGCCGCCTCCGGGCCCCCACCGTCCCCTTCCCCAGCCCTTAGCACAGAGAGGGACAAACGCCCCTCCCCCAGCTGCGTTTTTTATAGTAGATTTTTAACAAAAAAAATGGGGAGAAATAATGCATTTCTGTGGATAAGCGCCCACCACCCTCCTCAACTTGGAAACCATATCCCCTCCCCCATTTGTCCGTCTCCCTTCTCCCAGCCCCCACTCAACCCAGCACTTCTAGTGGTCTCACCTGGAGGCCAGAGGGAGGAGGACAGAGCCCCTGCCACACCCCGCTGCCTCCTCGGACTCTCGGGGTACTGAGACCAGGGTGCTTATGGGGAGGAGGGGGTCCTGCGGGGGGCCTGGACCCAAGCAGGGAGGCCACGTCCCACCCCACCTCTTGTTTCTGGAACCCTGCTCCCCTCTGGGTGTGTGAGTGTGTTCTAATTTTCTTTATGGAAAAAATGGACAAAAAAAATAGAGAGAGAGAGGTATTTAACTGCAATAAACTGGCCCCATGTGGCCCCGCCTTGTCTGTCTGTCTCTGTCCATCTCAGATATGGGGAGGGGGTCTGGGGTCTATGCAGGGCTCCCGGGGACAGGGCCTCACTCTTCTGTTCATGGCTGTGTACCAGTCCCGGCCGTCCCACACCACCCGGTACCCAGTGTGTTGGTTGTACAGATGGAGGAATTAAGGAATGAATAGTGTCTTTGAGGCCCCAGGTGGTGCGTATGTGGTGTGGGGGGCAGGGGGAGCCAGGGTCAAGGACATGCCACATGTTTTTGGAGGAGAGGCTGGGGTCTTTCATGTCACCAGTTCCTAAAAACAGGACTATCTCCTGACCCTGCCCTTCTGGGCTAACGCCCTCCCCTCTGCACCAGCCAATGGTGGGGCCTGGCCTTGAGCCCCCCACCCCCAGGGAGGGCAGATGGCCAGGAAGCCAGGCTTGGCCCGTCAGCCTGTCGCCTTGCACCGTGACTCTGGCGCCTGTGCTGTGACCCCTGCCCCTGGTTGATGATGAAACCTGGCCTGAGCTGAGATGATGCAGTGATGCCTGGGGGATGCTGCTGTGTCTCCCTGTGGGTGAGCATGCAGTCCCCATGCCACTCCCAGCCACTGCTAGAATCTAGGTCTGGTCACCTTGCTGAGCTCTCCACCCTGCACCCATCCCAGATACCTCCAGCTGCTTTCTTCCTTGCCTCTGAGAGCCCTCTCTCATATCTTGGCCATTCTTCTGTTGGAGAGTGATGCTGTGTGCAGCTGGGGGAGCCTAACAGATGTCAGGAAACTGTTACTTCCCAGAGTCCCCTGTTTTCATGCTTTTCAAATGGGCCTTGGCAGCAGTTCAGGGCCAGGAAGACGAGTTCATTCCTTGGCAGCACCATCCCCAGGCTTGTAGGGTTGTCACTGGATGGCCCGGGAGTGAGAGAAGATGTCCAAGGGCCCATCTCTGTAGTCACAATCTGCTGTTCCCCTGGGCTGAGTGCACCCTAAAATGATTCAGGTCGTACGTAGCAATGAGATTGCCACAGCCAGTCAGCCTTGGTTCAGTTCCTCTTCCCATCATGTGCAAGAAGCCAGCCCTCCAAAGAAAAGCCTGATTTGTAGTGTTTGCCAACATCTGTGGTGTAAGTACACCCACCAGTGGGGGTTTCAAGGTGCCAACATGATGTTCCTGACTGGCGTTGGGATGCACATGGTGCACTCATTGAGCCAGTACAAGCGTGGTCCAGCAGACCCACCGTGCCCTCCTGTGTTTTCTGGAGGCAGGAAAGCCTGGTGATGAGGGCACAGGACCCAGGGTGGAGGCCCAACTCTGCCTCTGGCTATGGCTAACCAAGCTTTGGCAGTGTCCTAAATCTTTGCCTCCAGCTCCTCTCCCTAAAAAGTGAAGATGAGTCTCTGGACTTCCCTGATGGGAGTCCAGTGGTTAAGAATCCACCTGCCAATGCAGGGGACATGGGTTTGATCCCCAGTCTGGGAAGAGTCCACATGCCGTGGGGTAACTTAGCCCATGCTCCATGACTACTGAGCCTGTGTGCTGCAACTGCTGAAGCCTGCACACTCCAGAGGCCCTGCTGTGTGACAAGAGAAGCCACTGCAAGAATCCCAGGCACCACAAGGAAGAGTAGCCCCACTCTGCCGCAACTTGAGAAAGCCCATGTGCAGCAATGAAAAACCCCAGGGCAGCCATAAATATATAAATAATGCATTTTTAATTAAAAAAGTCTTAGGTGGGCATGGTGTGCTCCTCTCCCAGGAGCAGGGTTTGGGAAGCCAGGGAGTCAGGGGCTGAGAAGACAACTAGGGCCCTGAAAGCAGAGCAGAGCTCGGGATGGGGCAGGCAGGAGCTGCTCAGAGGCAAGGTCGCGCGGGCTGAGTTAACACAGAAATGAGTCAGTGTATCTGTTGGCTTGCGAAGTGCAGTCATCAGATGTTAGCTGTTACCGTCACCACAGTCCTTTTTGGCCAAAACTTCACAGGAACATTTGCCAGATCCACAGGGCCACATCTTAAGGTTCTGACCCTTGAGAAACCCCACACATGTGCTGGGGGCTCCTGTGGACACAAACTCCTGCACACGAGCATCACTGTTCCCTCCCAGAAGCCAACCTCAATCCCATGCCTCTGTGGTTGACTGAGTGCCTGCTCTGCATTAAGTCCTATCCTAGAGAGTGGTGACCAAGCTGGGAGCAAGGTAGATGAGAGAAGAATATTCTCATGGAGCTGACATCCTGGTCAAGGAATTAGTGAACTTAAAAACAAGGAAACATTTGTGTTTAGAAATGCTGTTCATGAATAACATAAAAGATGATGGGAGAGTGATGAGGGGTGCGGGAAGTGACAGCCATACTGCTTGTAAATGACGAGGTCAGAAACGGTGGGGATGGAAGACACCTTACTCCTGCTCTTCGATCCGTTCTACCGCAGGGGCATAAGGGGGAAATTTTTTTCCTGAAATCAACAAGGTGATGTCATGTCAGGGAAAGTGTCTCCCAGGTGGCTGACTAAAGGCGTGTGTCAGCGGTCGTGTCTGCCCCACCTCCTGGACACACCTCTGTCGGCTGAGGGTGACACAACCCTGTTCCCTGTCACCTCTGTTCCCGCTTATCTCTCCCGCCTTTTCGGCGCCACCACCTTCTTGGAAATGAGTCGGGCCAAAGGGGAGAGGGCTTAGCATCCCCGCCTCCCCCAGGAGGACCCATAAAAGCAACTGTAACTGGACTCCCAGACACCAGAGCAGGTCCTAGACGTAACGGCTGGACGGCCAGACAGACGGCTCAATGGCACTGAACACGCAGATCCGGGCCACCTGCCTTCTGCTCCTTGTCCTGCTCAGCCTGACCAGTGGCTCCGTTCTGCCTCCCCAGGTGACAGCACAGGGCCCGGAATTGCAGCAGCCCCTGGGAGACCCCCTGCATGGGGCGGATGTCAGGGCGAGGAAAGGGGGGACAGGCAGCTGCTCAGAGCGCAGAGATGGGGTACCGAGCGGCAGGGTCTGAGGGGCCCTCTCTAATTCCACAGTGATTTACTGAGTGCCTGCTCGGCAGTAAGTCCTGTTCTAGACAGCGGTGATCAAGCGGTAATAGTCTCATGGAGCTTGAATATTCTCATGAATATTCTCATACATCCTGGGCAGGAAACCAGCCAATGAACTTAAAACAAGGAAACACTTGTGTTTAGGAAATGCTATTCCATGAATAACGTAAAAGATGGTGGGAGAGTGATGGTGGGGGTTGGCTATTTTGTGAGAAAATGTTATTTGACCTATGTTTGGGAGGATAAGAGAAGGGGGCAGCCAGCTGAGACTGAGGTGGGGGCAAGCACGAATGGACCCAAGGAGCAGAGGGCTGGGTGAGTGAAGAAGATGGTACTTGGAGACGAGACTGAGGGGTAGCCGTGCCAAGTCTTATAGGCAAGTACAGAGGAAGCCCTGCAGGCTTGGGAAATGGGGAAAGCTGAGATCTGACTGATAACACGTGGGGAACGGGTTGTAAGCGGCAAGATACAGGGTGGAGACAGGCCTCTGGGCCACGGAGGGTCCTATGGAAGAGTGAGCAGCTGTAGAGAGAGGAGGAGACGGATTTGGGATGTTTGCAGACAGGAGAACCACCCATGGGAAGGTGAGGCCACTTCTGGGATTCCAGCTGAGCCAGGAGATGCCAACCCCTGGGGAGGCGCTGCTCCGGGGGAGCTAGACTGAGAGCTCTGCCGGGGCCCTGCCGTCCTCAGTACCCTCTTTTGCTTTCCACAGACACGACAGCTCACAGACCTCCAGCCCCAGGACACAGCTAGAGTGGCAGCTGGCTTGACGGTGAGAGCCCCTGGGACTCCCCTCTGAGCCTCACCTGCTTTCCCGTGCCTGCACCCCCTACGCCCGGCTCACTGCCCTTCCTTCCCACAGCCCGCGCTCCAGAGGCGGAGACGAGACACCCACTTTCCCATCTGCATCTTCTGCTGCGGCTGCTGTCGTAAAGGCACGTGTGGGATGTGCTGCAAGACGTAGGACCACCCCCCAAACCCCGCCGTGCCCTCTTCCCTTATTTATTCCTGCTGCCTTCCAACACTCGGTGAATAGTCTTGAAATAAAATGGCCGGTTCTAGCTCCTGTTTTCCAAACCAGAGTCTCTGTTCTCTTTGCTCCCTGCCCAGGTCTAGGCCAGAGGCTTGTCTTGGGCCGTCTCGGAGGGCCAGTCCTCCTCAGTGGGGTGTGCAGGGTCTCTGTGTGCTGGGAGGTCGCAAGGAAGCTTGATGAAGGACATCTGTTTTCTCTTCTTCCCCCACTTCAAAAGGCCCCGAATTTACTTTGCCAGAGCAGGGAGTGAAAGTTCAAGTTTCCTCTTTGAAATCTTCTCAAAAACAGGGGTAAATTCAGATCCCTAGCAAGGGTTCTCAGAGCAAGGTCTGGGGACTCCTCCAGGGCTCCACAAAGTGGAGACAACTCAGATGCCACCCATCTTTCTCACCCTTGTTCTCTTGAGAACAGACTGTGGAGCTCTCCAGAGGCCCCATGACATGTGTTGATGTTATCCTTCTGACAGCTAGCTGATGGAGTGCTTTAGGTCTTGTGCTTTAAAAAGTCCCAGTTTCGGGACTTCCCTGGTGATGCAGTGGTTAAGAGTCTGCCTGACAATCTGGGAGTCTCAGGCTTGATCCCTGCTACAGGAACTGGGATCCCACACACTGTGGGGCAACCAAGCCCAGGCTCCACAAGAGAAGCCGTGGCAAAGAGAAGCCTGCACATCAGGGAACTAGATGAGTTAGAGAGTAGCCCCCCACTGGCTGCAAGTAGAGAAAGCTCACTTGCAACAGCAAAGAACCAGTGCCACTAAAAAAATAATAAAAGATAAAAAATACCTAGTTTCAATTTCTAATAGATAAAGCAACTATAGAGATGACTCACTAGAACAAAAAGTTTTTGAAGTTCTCAAGTTTTCAGAGTATAAAGGGGTTCTGAGACCAAAAAGTTTGAGAACCACTGGCCTTCAGGGAGCAGATAAGTGCAATAAATGAGTGAGGCCTGATGGATTTGT